CAGCAAACCCTGGCCTGGGTTTGGGGCCGGGGAGGGGAGTTAAACACCTTTTCCCCTACTCAAACTTAGTGTGACTGTGGACTACAAATCCTAGAGGCACTTGGAAGCAGGAAGAGGAAGTAATAAGCAACCCTGCAGAGTCCTGCTGCTATGCTTTTGGACTGCAAATCTCAGAGACCTCAGGGGTAGCAGAAAGAGGAAGTGAACACACAGCCCATACTGGCTACGTGCCAGGGAGTCAAGCTTCAGCCCCCGACTTCTAGCCTGAGCCACTGCAGGCATGTTGCTGTATTTCCTGAATCCAGGGCCTTTCTACTTCTACAGTTATGCTAATTGGCACTTCCTTTCCATCTCTCATTCCAATTTGCTTTTGCCATGTAATACGTAGATACATGTAGACAGCCAGGCACACTAGCAAAATCAAGCAGAACATTTGATCCAGTGACGATGTGTACGGGGTGCACATGCACCCCCTGAGAGTGCCGGCACACCCCCTGACTGGCCGCGCTCGCCACTTAGGCGATGGGCAGGGGGAGCAGGTGGGAGTGCCACTGGCTGGGGAGTGGAGTGCTATGGCACTCCCAGAAGCAGCCGCAGTCAGTTCCAGACCTTCCCCACAACCCCAGCCAGCGAGACTGGCCGCGGGGGGGGACTTCCCCCCCCCCCCCCCCCCTCTTCAGCAAGAATGGTCACTGGGGGGGGGCATGTGCCCCCCATGACTAAGGCGGCACCCATGACTTGATCAAATAAAAGTTACAGAACAAAGAAGGGCAAAAAAAGAGAAAGCAGGACATTTTCTATCCTCCTGGATTCATGTAACTGCAGGGCATGGTGAAAGACTGATTAAGGTTTAAGTCTCATAGGTCTATGAACTCTAAGGTTAGGCCACTAAGCCAACAGTGATGGACTGCTGACCCTCATATTCTCTTCTGTCCTGTAGCTGGGGCTTTTTGTTCTGTTTTGCTTTTTTCTTGCTGTTTTGTATAACGTGGGAACTCTGCATTATTTACTAGAATTTGCCTTGACCTAGAATGGTTGTTAGTGATAGGAGCATTATGGGTTTATTAAGGAGGATCCATAAGGCAGAAGCCCTATTTAGCCACACAGAAGCAAAACTTCTGCCTGAAACCCAAGATTCCTGCATCCAGATTACTAAGGGTGTACGAAACAGGTCGTATTCCATTTAGATTCAGCCCGAATCGGGGACAGTGGTTTGATTAGTTGATTCGGATCACTGTTCCAATTCAATTTAGCTGAATCCGAATCTGAAGATTCGACGCTGATTCAGAGAATCATCGATTCGGCCATAGACACAGCTTTAAATGTTTTTTCTACATACTTTGAGGTATCAGGAGCAGCTCATGAATGCTAAGATCCTGGGCAGATGGATCATCCCACAGGAGAGTGGAGGGGGGGGGCCCAGCATGCTCAGCGGCGGACCAGGAAGTGGACCGGAAATACTTCTGGTCCACTGCCAACCGCTCTGGGGGACCCCCCAGCACTCCTCTGGCTCGAAAATCAGCTGTGAGGAGAGTCCAGGTGCCCCCCCAGACCCAGGAAGCACCAGTCATCAAGCCAGGGGGACATGGGGTGACCCGGTGGACCCCGAAGTGGATCAGAAGCATTTCTGGTCCACTGCCAAGCACGCTGGGGACCCCCCCTGCACTCCTGTGGGATGCTCCATCTGTCCCACCATTGCAGCATTCACGAGTCACCTGGTACCGAGGTATGTAGAAAAAATGTTTAAAGCTGTGTCTACGTCCAAAATCACTGAATCTCTCCGAATTGATTTGGAGGGTTCCACTTCGATTTGGAGAGATTAGAGGGTCTCCTGATTCAATTCAGTCTCGGAGATTTAGCCACTGAATCAGGCTGAATCTTATCAGTGACTGAAGCTTCTCACAGCCTTACTGATTACTGCTTGCTGATTTTCTGCAAGTACTTTCTTCCTCTGCCAGCACTTGTGTCTGAATTCAAGACTCATCCCTTAATATACTTTGTACCATAAATAAGTTCTAGAAGTTAGATGACAATTTAAAGGGAAAAAGAGGCAAAACTAATCTAAGTTCAATGTGTAGCAAAAGTGGAAAATTAACAGCAAAAAATCCAAACAACTAAAAACAATGTTTCTTAGAATTCTTTGGATTTTAAGGTTTAAATTCTATCAACCATTATTTTAAAACGCGATTCCATGGTAAAATATGCAAGTAATGTTACAGAAGCATTTACCTCCACAGAATGGGTCTCAGTAGTGATTATAAAAATTTGTCCACCAGATGCCGCCCATATGGTCTCTTCCATCACAAGTAGGCTTCTGACTGGTAGAACCCCTAGCTTTACTACTTTTTCAGGTTCTGGGTTCCAGTTTCCATCTTTAACAAAGAAAAGAAGCAGGAAGAAAAATTACACACAATAAAAATGTATGTCTGGTTTTAAATATTCATCAAGAATATATGGCTGTGAAGACAATATGGCTTACTCCAATGTGGCAGAGCTATCCATAAAAAATCCTAGCAGACAAACACAAAAGTCTAATATATGAATACTAATCTATCAAACTTGCACACATTTTTGTTAACAGAAAGCCATTTCCTTGTATATATAGAATAAAGAGAGTGACACTGCAGGTTCTGCACACTGTATTCTTGATCATACCTATGCAACCTGTCCCTTCAGATTATTTATACCTGCATAATACTATTGAAGTCTAATCCGATTGTACAGAAGTTACTCAAGGCACAATTTCTAGATTCAGTTGGCACAAGCTGAACATTAAGGGCTCCTATACACATGCACAATGCCCACTGTGATGTGCTGGAGTATGGAAGCTGACTCATTTGGCAGCCTTCTGCATCATGTGTATCAGTGTCTCCACACTGAAAAAATGGTAGCGTTGCACTTTGAAATAAAACACGTTCAATGAGCCCTGCTGCCATTTTTTCAGTGTGGGGACATGTGGGGATGCTGATACATATCACATTGCGGGTGCTTTTAATTAGCATGGCTTGCTAATTAAAGTACCTGGTGCCACATCCCACAGCATGTATAAAAATGCATCTAAGATACTAAACCTGCAGCATCTTTCTGTTTGGTAATGATATATATGGGAAAGAAAAAAATGAGTTTGAACTTCAAAGTGAAGGCTGCATTTGAAGATAGCAGGTAGAAAAACTATTTAATTGTCATCAGAAAAAAAATGTTTAGATTCATCAAGATGCTATTAGTATAGATCCTCTCTCAGTCATTTTTCTAGGGACACTTTTCGGAGGAAATCTCAATGTTAATCTCATCTTCCCTCCAACTAACCGCAGTCCCAAATCTTAAAGCACTTATTTAGAATAATTTCATAGTACTGTAGTCTCTGTGTTAAGAATCCACAGTTGGCCTTTCAACCTAGAAAGCCTCAAAGTTTAAAAATCAGCAGTTCTCAACCTGGGTGCTGGGGTACCACCAGAACCTTTGAAAGTTGCCCCAAGAAGTTCGAGGACATAAACAGATAAGAGCATGCTTGGGCTCCAGGTGTGAGAAGACAAGCAGGTAAAAGTACGCTCACGCTCTCCCTGCACAGTTGAGCCTCTGCCCCCACTGCCTGGCGCTTCTGCAAGGAGGTAAGCACTGTAATAAATAAATTAAGTTTTGAAATGGGGTGCCACTCAGTTAACAAAAATTATGGAGAGGTGCTTTCACTCTACCAAGGACTGCCTCTAGCCGAAAAGGTTGAAAACCCCTAGTTAGATGTATGAAGTGAAGATGAAGTGAAGTAATCTATGACTTTTTTTTTAACTAATGTCTGAATCACATCTAAGTACCCATCTAAAACAAACTTGATGAAATGGACATTCTAGTAGCATCTTTAACTTTCAGAAGCATACAGTAATTTTAAGAGAAACTAGGTAATTTCTTTTCATGCCCCATCTTCAGATTTAAAAAGAATTCACCCTGATTAGAAGACAGCCAGTACTGTAATTGGTGTGGACTGGATTTAACAGACTGAAATCAGATTACACCCGAAATAGCAGTAATACCATAAGCGTATCTTGCAGGCGCCTGCTACTGCTTACCAGTGCTACAGAACTCTTTGAAGTAAGGATTAAAGATTAAAGAAATCACAGCAACTGTTTTGTCCAAGTTTTAGCTTTTAACAGCATGAACTTAGTTTGAATACATGTACATGTTCCTTTGATAACAAATGTTTAATGACAAAGAATTAAGTAATTATTCTAATACCTTTTCACACATAATTGGCTTATTCAATGCATACCTTTCAGATAACCATTTACACTCATTCAGTATATCACCCCACAATTCTGCACTATTGTCTGTTGTACCTTAATAACAGTATAAATAAAATTGCTTTTGTTGTTATGTGTAGTTGGCTTGAGGGGAAAAAAGTATATTAAAAGGTGACCTCCTCACTTTCATATCCACTCTGTACAAGTTCCAGTAACAATAACCACTTTACTGTCAGAGACCCCGATTCATTGATTCATTCAACTTAAGCACCTTTTAAAACACACTCTCATGAAAAGTACTCAGTCTTGGGGGCAGTGACTGTTTGTTATTCATTTACATATTGCTTAATACAATGTGTCCAACAGTAACAGGTGAATTTATTATTATGCACATGCTTGTATGCTTTACTGTATAGAGATTCAAAAAATATTGGTACCTCTGACAGCATCAGTTATATAATCTTCCTTGACATGTGCTTAGAATGAGATTCTAATTTTAAAATACATTCATATAAATTACATTGCGAGTGCCATATTCATTATGTCACAATTGTTTTCATAAATTCAGTATGCAAGTTTCTAATTCCATCCCTGCAAGTTCTCCTAGCAATGTCAAAGTCAGCTTGTGTTCTTTCTGACTCGCACATTGCCATCAGTAATAAAGACGCTTTAGGCCAAGCGGCGCCCTCATTGCAACAAAATTGTCCTTAATTTAAGTGCTTAGGTGGAGATTACAGAAGTATAACTGAGGGCACAATCTGAAGATAACAGGAGTGTGTAAAGTGGCCCTTCATTTGGAAGTAATTTTACAATTTATTTTAATTATGTAAATCATATTAGATGAACTATCCTAGAGCTATGTTGTCTCTTTGGGAGTAAGAGTAGTAAAAATAGTATAGGTTTGCTGTTTCCATTGCCTGAATTTAGACAGGGAGAAAGAAGCTGCCCTTCTTTCAAATACACTTTTCAGAAGTGAATCAGACAAATTCAAATAGACTAAATAATTCACTGAATGACTCAATGCCTGAATTTGGTCTAAAATATAATTGAAATGTATAATTAGTAACCTACAGTCTCTTATTTTAAATCATGATTTATTTTTAAACTTAATCATTTAGACCTTACCTAATGTAGACAAGAAAGCAATAAAACTATTTTTACTCTCTCTCTTTACTGCAGGCATGAAAACACACCAATTTCAATAAAAGCCTGGCTTAGACACTGAATAGTTCAATAAAGGCATTGAGAACCTAGAAGTCAGGTGCCTCCTTGATTAACATATCTAGGTGCCTGGCCCCTGGAATGGAATCCAGAACTCTTTGGCAAGTACAGTGCATAGGAAGAGCTAGACAACTCAGAAAAGGATCCAAAAGCCGGCAAAGTTAATCAACGAGTCATCTAAAACTAGCCAGGAGACAGATAAGGCTGTCATCCTGCGTAGCTTTGTAGCTTGGATACCTAACTCAAGGCTTCAGGGAGACCTTTTTCCATTTGGGATTCACACACTGGAATCCTCTTCAAAGATAAGTGCATGCAGTCTTACTGACTCTTTTTTTGTCTAAAGAGAGGCAGTGATGATGCCACACATCCTTTTTATAGGAGCCTGGTTATTAGAGCACTCACCCAGGAATCAGGAGAAACCCAGGTTTGATTCTACCTTATTCTAATAGGGTTCAGTTCTATATCTACATGGAACCATTTTGGAATAAGTTATACATACTGTTTGTCAACCTGGTTGTTGGTTATTGCGAGCTGTAAGAAAACAAGCAACACATGGAACAATGGCTCAAAAGATAAGAACTACAGCATACATTTGAGGACTGTTAAGTAAAATGAGAGGACTCCTGGCTCCAAGAAATCTAGCTCAACTTTTTGCAGACCCTACTAAACAGATTTAAGAAGTTTGGTAAATGCCAAAAAATTGGATAGGGCAGGGTGGGGGAAGAACCCTGGCTGGGTTTTAAAAAAAATGAACTCTCTAGAGAGCAGATAGTTTTGGGGGAGAAGTTTTGGGGGGGCATTTTTTGGGGAGAATAAAGAACCTACTTCAGCTTCTAGCAGGGAATGGTAAGCCCTTAAGTAAACTAGACATGCTTGAAGATGAACATATAGACTATATTAAAATCCTATTTTCTAAATGCTTTGCTTCTGCTATTCAAGTAAACAATATTTTGATTTTAAGAATGCTGTCTGGTCACAGTGTTCTCCACTGGTCCATGACTTGAGGTGAAGAACCACAGGTGCAAAAATCTACAAGTCTCAGCCTAGTGTGAGCAAATAATTTGATTACGTCTCAAGAGACAAAGGAAAAGGCCTGAAACGTAATGGGCTGCCCAGAAAATGAACAGCAGTGCAATGAGCTCTACAAGAGTGACAACAATACTTACACTTAACATTAGGTATATGAAAAAAATCGAAGCATGTACCTAACTACCCTGTTTAAACACACATGATCCTGCAAAAAGCTGTGAATTTGATCCATTTTATGCTTTGTGGATTAAGGTCTTTGAAGTCAGTAGGAATATTTGCAGTGCATAAAGGGCCTTCATAAATCTTAGCACAATTGTCATCTTATGTTAGATTCTCCCCCACCATAAAGGTATGGAGCTTCTAGCCCAATAGACCTATTAACACTCAAGCTTTCTAAACATTAGGGTAATAAATAAATACTGCAGATACGAGAACCAGCAATAGCTGCAAAATTAGAAACCAAATATATATATATTGGTTTCTAATTTTGCAGCTATTGCTGGTTCTCGTGCATGTGTGTGTGTGTGTGTGTGTATATATCTATATATATATTCTTACAACAATACACACACACACACACACACACACACACACACACACACACAGTTATATCTTACTTTTTTGCTGTATATGAACACTACATCAAACTTCTGATATTTTAATTTATACTATTTAAAAGGCAAAAACCTAATTTTAAGCACTTATTATGTCATGCCTTAATATGTTCCTATGCCCTCTGTAACCCACATTTTGTTAGCAGGTTCTTGCCTTAGTTCATGTTATGATAATAGACAATATACTGCTATATTCTTATCAGTCTGTCTACATTTTGACATTAACAAACATTGCAAGCATATTGTAAGGGTCCAAATATTTCAAGTTATTCAGTA